ACACTTTCATTCAAAGGCAGAGATTGTCTGATTAGATTTTTAAAAGACAGACCCAACTATGCAATGTCTACAAGAGACATACCTTAGATTTAAAATGAAAATTAGTTAAAAGTAAAAGAATGGGGGAGGGGGAGGTAAGGTACACTATGCGAATAGTAACCAGAGACAATTTTCCAAAATTGATGAAAGATATGAATTGTCAGATTTCAGGAGCACACACACAAAGATATCACAGAATAATGGCAGAACACCTAAATGAAAACAACATCTTAACAGCAACCAGAGGGAAATTAAAATCACCTACAAAAACAATAAAGCAACAGAAGACAGATGACAAAGAAAGATCTTCAAAACATTGAGAGAATAAATATTGACTTAGAATTCCCCTAATAAGCTAAACTACATAAAATGAAGCACAATATATCTGCTACTAACAGCTAATCCTTGAAAAGTTTACCAATGAATGTAATTTAGGAGGAAGGGATGGATATAAGAAGCTCTAGTGAGGAGGAGAAAAGATGAAGATATAAGTATACACAAATTAGTACTAATACCATAAAAAGTAGCAATATTAAAGACAAAGTTGAGAGATTCAAAGGTAGAACTAACAGCACAGGCCTGTAATCCCAGCACTTGGGAGACAGAGGCAGGTGATGGCAAGTTTGAGGCCAGCCAGGGTGGTGGAACTGAAATACTGGCTAGCTGACAGAATGGCTCAAGTGGTAGAGCACTTGCCTAGCAAGCATGAAGGAAGCCCTGAGTTCAAAGCCCAGTACTACTATAAAAAAAAAAAGAAAGAAAAGAAAAAAGAAAAAGAAATATTGGCCAAAAACTACAAGAAAGAAGGGAAGAAGTCATCAAAATTAAAGTAGCCCAATGTCACTTCAGTATCTGAAGTGATGGATATGTTAATACTTGTATTTAATTATTCCACATGGTATTCATACATCATAACATCACTTTGTACCTTATAAATATATACAACCACAAGCAGGGTGTCAGTGGCTCACACCTGTAATCCTAGCTACTTGGGAGGCTGAGATCAGGAGGATCGAAGTTTGAAGCTGGTCTGGAAAAATAGTTTGTGAGATCCTATCTCCAAAATAACCAGAACAAAATGGACTAGAGGCATGGCTCAAGCTATAGAGTGTCTGTTTTGAAAGCACAAAGGCCTGAGTTCAAAACCCCAGTCCCACAAAATAAATATATTTCAATTTACAATAAAAAATATTTAAATGCTAAAAGAGATCAAAGAAAGAACTGAATGTAAAGAAATCCAATATCTAAGGAAAATAGTAATTAATATTAAGAATATAATACCCCATAATTTAATCTACAGATTCAATAAAATGTCTTCAAAGTCCCTACTATATTTTAAGCTTCCTCAAAATCAGTATGTATATGCAAAGGAAACACAAAACAATCCTCAGAAACAGTAACAAAACTTACCACACTTACCAAAATCAATTCTCACTATAAAGTTAACAGCAGTCAGAGCAGGTGGTAATAATGGCACGATAAACTGATGTCCACCAACGGAACAGATTTAAGGTTCATTAATAAACATATGCACTAACAGTAATTCTTTTTTTTTTTTTTTTGGCAGTTTGAACTTCAGGCCTTGTGTGTGCTATGCAGGCGAGTTCTACCACTTCAGTCATGCCCCAGCCCAACTTGTAGTAAAGTGACTTTGACAAAAGGGCAGAGAAATTTCACTGAGCAAAGGAAAGTCTTTTTAATAAATGATACTGGGAAAATTAGACATCCAAATGCAAAAGAATGAAGTTGAACCCTCAACTCAAATTTTACACATACACATACATAAATACGCAAAGTGGATCATATACCTAAAGGAAAATGCAAGAAATGTTAATTTTTTGTGATCTTAGATAGGCAAAGCTTTCTTAAATTTTACATCAAAAGCACAATCAAGAAGAGAAAACTTGATGAATTGTACCTCATCAAATTTAATATGCTATGTTCTTCAAACAACATGAAAACACAAGTCACTAAACAGGAGAAGCCACCCCAGCTGACACAATGATATTGCCTTTCTAGCAACCAGAATTAAGAGAAAATAATTTTTTGTGTGGCCCTGGGGCTGGAACCCAGGGCCTCATGCATGCTAGGCCAAGTGCTCTAGCACTGAGCAAGGACCTCTCCAGTCCAAAGATAAGTTTTTATTGTTTAAGAAAAAGAAGGGGTAAAGAAGTCATCAAAATTAAAGTGTCCTGAGGTCTTTACATTATTCAGAAGAAAAACTGTCAGCTCCAGATTGCAATCATTAAAATAACTAGAATATGTAACTGCCAAACCAGTGTAACACTTTGCAGAGAGAATAAAGAAAACTCAATCAATCCAAAAGAAGGCAGCAGAGGAACAGAAAAGCATTACTCAAACAGCACAAAATACAATTAATAGAAGGCACAAAATATAATGATTGAAACAAATCCAAGCATATCAGCCATCACAATAAATATATTTGTGCTAAACACACCAGCAATTATGTAATGGATATAGAATCAAATCTATGAACCATTTACAGAAGACATACCTGGAACATAGGAGACAAAAAGCTTTAAAGTCAAAGATGGAAAACGCTGTTCTAGGCAAATACTAAACAAAAAAATAGACTTAAAAGGAAAAGCACTGTTAGAGGTACTAGGGTGGCCTCTCTGGTGCTTTAAATCTCTTTCCTCTTCTGTAAAGAAGGGATTCCAAGCCACATCTCCAGGAGAAATATGTCAAGCATATGTGCTGTTAGATAATGTAAAGTAGGAGGAGGAGAAGAGAAGAGTAGGAGGAAGGGGAATAGGAAATGCTGGGGAGGGGACTTTAATTTTAGAACATTTGGGAAAAGACCTGACAGAAGTGAGGTAGTGGTCCATGGGAGTGTCTGGGAAGAAGACATCCAGGCAGAGGTAGTAGCAAATGCAAAGGCCCAAAGGCCACAGCACACCTGTGACTGAGGTGCAGCAGGGGTCTAGTGAGGCTGGAGGAGGGAGGAAAGTATGGTAGGAGAGGAGCTCAGAGATAGCACTGGCCAGATCACGCAGGGCCTTGTCAATCATTCCAAAGCCCTTGATGGTTACTCTGAGCAAAATGAGAGTTTCGAGCACAAAAGTGAGTGGAGGTATGTGTATTTTTAAATCATCACTCTGGCTATACTGACAGAGAATGAACTGGAGCAGGACAAGTTATAGGAGACCAACTAGAAGGCAGTGTAACTACCCAGACAAAAGGACATAACGACTTGCAGTGGAGGTGGTGAAGGATCCTGGAAATATTTGGAAGGTGGGGCTAACAGGATTTGCTAAAAGATTGGATGTGGGGGGAGCATGTGAGCGCATGCGTGAAGGAGAGAGAGGGGGGAGAGAGAGAGATAGAGAGGGAGAGAGAGAGAGAGAGAGAACAGTAAGACTGACCTCTGACTTCATGGACTGGGGGTATAGCTCAGTGGTGGGGCAAATGCTCAGCATATTTGAGACCCTGGGTTCATTCCCGGCACCAAAATAAAAGTAAGGGAAAGATTGATGTAGGCTTTTAGACCAGAGCTTCTGGAAGAATAAAGTTATCATTATCTGAAAAGAAGACAGTTGGAGGGAGCAGCAATTTGGGGAGGAGCAAGAAGGGGGATCAGCAGTTGACTTTGGAGCATCTTCAGTTTGAAATGTCCACTGGACATCCAAGTGAGATTTCAAGGCATAGCTCGATACCCAGGCTTGACATCTACAAGAGGGTCTGGGCTGGTATTATGCATCCGGGGTCATCAGGCTCTCAGTAATATTCAAAGCCATAAGCCTGGATAAGATCACTTAAGGAGTAGGTGTAGAGAGCAGTCTTGGGACTGGGCCCTAGAAAACTCCAGTGCTGAGATCCTGGGAAGCAGTTGAAGTACCAGAGACACAGGTGATTGTGAGTGACCAGGGGTGAGAATCTAGAGGTATGGTGTCCTCAAAAGTGTTCTGGGAAGAAGAGTCATGGACTGTGTTAGATGCTGCTGATGGGTTGATGGATCAAGGAACACAAGGACTGAGCATTAACTAGTGGGTTTAGCAACATAGGTTGGCCTGATGTGAAAAAACAGTTGTGCCCATCAGATTCCCTGATTCAGGAAATGTCATAAAGGAATACTGAGAGACCGCTGTGTTGAACAATGGGAGCCAATGTGGATGGTCTTTTTGCATGGCTTTTTGCATTGCTTTCTTTCCCCCCAGCAAACAGTAAAAATAGCTAACCTTTATTGAGTGCTGGCTATGTGCCAAGAATGCTATTATCATGCTTATTTTTAAATAAGAAAAGTGGGGCTCAAAAAAGTCAAGTAACTTGCCCCAGGTCACTCAGCTGGTGAGTAGTTGAGCTGGAATTCAACTCAGTCTCCTGCATTTAATTACTAAACCACCACTGCCTCAGTTTAATTAAGGGGGAGGCCTACACTTTGGTAAGAAACTCACATTTATAAAATATATATTTGGGGCCAGGTACCTTGTGTTGGAATACGGTTTTTTACTGAAGTCTCACAAATCCCCTGAGAGATAACTATCACTACTGTCATTTTAAAGATGAGAAAATGGAGGCAATGAGAGGTAAGGTCTCTTGCTGATAGTCCCACGGATGGAGGCAGTGGGGGAAGCTGAGGCCCAGATGGCCTTGGAGACTAAAGGTTGGCCCCTGCCCTGGCTGTACATATCAACCCTACCTTTCACATGGATGGGATGGGAGCAGTCAGGCCTGGGGAGGGCTAGGGAACCCAAGCGAACTGGTACTTCCCTTCCTTACAAGCTCATCCCTTTGAGGACCCCGGGTGGGTTCCAAGGACTTGGTTCTCAGGGAGTCCCCTCTGAGGCAGCTCTAGAAGTCATGAGGCAGGTTTCTAGGTTTCCCCCATAACCAGCCCTGAGCTCTCCTTATGGACAGATTCTGATTTTAAGGCCTAAGCTAACCACAGAACTGAGTCTCCCCTCCTGCCCTTCCCTCCAGTGCTCTGGGCCTCTGCCTACCTGTCCAGTGGTGAGGGAACGGCTGTAGCCAGGGATGGAGCTCCGGGGGTGGATCCGGGGTGGGACACAGCAGCTGGAAAAGGCCAAAATGCCAGTCAGAACAGGGGTCTGCTAAGAGGTAGAGGAGGGAAAATGATAGCACTGGGGCCTCTGACCTGGTCCTCCTCTCCCAAACTCCTCTGAAGAGATCCCCCAGAAGACTCTGGGTAGAGACTCCCCCAAAGAGGCACTCATACAGAGACTAAGACTACACCGCCCCCCCTTACATGGGGCAGAGTGAGACATCCCAGTTGAACCCTACTCAGGGCTACTGGACTGGAGCCCACTCTATACAGACCTCCTGCAAGAACCCAGCATCACTACACTTTGGTAACTACCTCACATTTATAAAATATCAATTTGGGGCCAAGTCCCCACCCCTGGCCTTCCCTGTCCTTACTTGATCCGGGCAGTGTCCACGCTGGAGGAGCGGCGGGAGGCAAAGCGCCGGGCGACTGCTTTGGGAGATGTCTTGGGGCTGCCATCTGAGTCTCCACTTTCCTCATCCCCCATGGCTTTGATGTAGCTGCCGCTCCGCATCCTGCGGCAGGGGATCTCCCCGTCCTTGCCACCCGTGGGGTAACCCCCCCAGTCATCTTGCGGCACCTGCAGGGACAAGGTCCTGTATCTCTCAGACATGTCCCCAGTCCATCTAGAGCTCAGGATCCTCTTTGCCGCTGCCAGTGGGAGGCTCTCTGCCCAGCTGGAGCAGACCAAGCTCAGAAGCATGCAGAGGACAACCAGGAGGAGAGGTCTAGGGCTGTCCCCCTCCCTTACAGGAGATGCTGCACCATCCTCCAGAGGCCTTTTGCCACTTAATTGAGGGCCACCTCGAGTGTCTAGGGGTGTGACATGCCAGGTGCCAAGAAGTTGAAGATCGGAGGCCTAGGTGACCCGTGCCAATTGCATCCCCATCAGCACCGCATCACCTGACCTCAGTCAGCTTTTACCCCTGCTTCTCCTCCATCCTTTTAACCTGCTTCCACTCCATACCCTCCAACTCTCCCACACCCCTTGAGGAGCTACAGAGAGTGTTAGGCAGGGTGCGCATAGATTTGTGTTGGGAAGGAGCTTTCAACAGTCCTGACAGAGATTGGATAGTGGAGAGCCAGGAGTGGAGCAGAGGCTCAAGTGGCAGGAGGGAGACCAATTAGGAAGCTGAGGCTGTTATCCAAGCAAGGGATGATGAGGCTTAAATTAAGACAATGACAATGAGGGGAAGAGGAGTAGATGGAGATGAGAGGTGTTAAGGAGCATCAGAGAACCTGATTAACAGTGGGGAAAGAGGAGGAGGTGGGGAGGAGCTGAGGATGACTGTGAGGCTGATGGCTGAGGACCTGGAGGATGGTTCTGTCACTCACTGAGCCACAGAACCCCAGAGAAATAGGTTTGGGGAAAGGTGACAGGTTCAGAACTGAGCACTTTGAGCAGGTGGTTAGACGTTTGTTTCTAGGGTTCAGTGGGAAGACTGGGAATGGAGGCAGACACATGGGAGTTCTGGGTCGCAGCTGGATCCATAGGAAGCCCAAGGAAAAGGGGAAGAGAGAACTGAGGAGATCCACTGACATTTTAAAAAGGACTGCAAAGAAAGGAAGAAGAGCCTGTGAAGTCACCTGAGAAGGAGTGGGCAGACGGTAGGAGGAAAGTCAGGAGAATGCCATGTCACAGAAACAGGAGACATTTCAAGAATAAAAGGAGTCGATTATGTCAAATGCCACAGTGCATTCAGGGGTTAGTAACTTGGGCTCAGGAGTTAGGAGATCCATGTGCAAATTCTGGCACCAAAACTTGCCAGCTCAGTGAACTTCAGAAAACTGATTAATTTCTAAGCATCAGTTTCCTGGTCTGTGAGTTGGTAATGGCAATTATGCCTACATCAGAGGGTGTGCAGCACAGATACTCAAGCCAATACAGAGCGCCCAGAACATAGAAAGTGCACAATAAATGTTAACTATTACTATAACCACTGAAGATACATTTGAGGCACAGTTCTCCAAAGACCACCAATGACCACTGTCAGGACACGTCAGAGGATGAGACTGTGGAAGTCTGACTTGGTAAAGGGGAGAATGGAAGGGAAGTGAAGAGAGCAGTATATGCTCTCAGAACTTGGGTAAGAAGGGAAGACAGGAAGTAGAAGGAGGGTGAGATTGAGGAAATGTTTTTTATAACAGCAACTCTGGACATGTTTTCAGGATGAAAGAGCTATAAAGATAATCTTTAAATGTGGGGACAATTGGATGGAGGGGGCCTGAGGCAATGCACTTGAGCCCTGGTGGAGCAGTTAGTCTGAAATAAGAGGTCCTAGCTTTTCCTTTAGATGGAGTCCATGGTGGTCACCTACACTGTGAAGAATGAGGTGTAAGTGAAGGTAGGGGAAGAAGGCTGGGGAAGGTGGTGTGCTTTTAAAACACTTGTTGTAAAGAAAAGGTTAAGCAGGGCAAGGATGGGGGTTCCAAGAGGAAGCAAGGCTCAGGAAGAGCATATAGTTCAGGGGACAGGTGAGGCTAGGGAGGGGACAGGGATCAGTATGAGAACAGGGAACAAGGGAGGAGACCTCAGGGAGGAGCAGGACTCAGCAAGTAGCCAGGGCTCCATCAAATGGAAATGTTGAAAGGAAACGAGCCTCCATAAAGGAACAAGAGCTCTGAGTCGAAAGGGAGGATACAAAAATGGTCTGAGAGAGGGTTGCTGTGCAATGAGAGAAACACAGCTTCAACCAAGGTTGTGAGTTCAACCTAGTTTAATGAAGCCAGCTTCCCCTGATTTTGTGCCAGGGGAACACAAGGCTGTCTGCAAGGTCCTAAAGCTCCTTTGTTTGCCCCAAATGGGTCAGACTTCCCAGTCCTAGAACCCCAATCCCTGAGTACATTCCCCTCCCCAGACTCTACAGAGAGGAGTAGCAAGACAGGCCAGCAGATGGGATGGCCAGGGCACACTCTGCCTCACTGCAGGGCTCCCACTCCACAGCCACTGCAGAGCTCCTTGCCCTTCTGCAGGGCACTGTGAGGTGCATGTTAAAAAGGAAGCCCCCAGGGAGGTCAGGGCAGCCCTGGAGAAGCAGCAGGAACAGCAAAATGGTGGCAAGGCTCCAGAAATGACAAGAGCTGGGATATGGGGGAGGAAAGGCTGTTCCCTCCCCACATCCTTCAGTTCTCTGCTTAGAACACCTTCCTACCCAGACAGGGGGCAATCCACAGGCAACCTACAAATTCTAGAAGTCTCTTTCTGCTTCTACTATAACCATATTTGCTCCCTTGGGCTTTCATGAGATTCCTCCAGGAGAGCCCTAACATGCGAACAATTTACCAGCAAGGCCAATGACACCCAAAAGACCTGAGCAGGCTCACTTCTACATACCTTTGAACATGCTGTAGTCTCTTCCAAGAAAGCCTTTAATCTGCATTCAACTAATTTCAACTCCACTGAGATTCAGATCAGGGGACATTCCTCCTAGAAGCTTCCCAAGGCATCCCTTGCTACCATCACCAGGTAGGTGAGGGGCCTCCTCTGTATCCCCATGGTGGTCAGGGTTCTCTCTCTCTCTCTTTCTCATGAGACTGGGGTTTGAACTCAGGGATCCATGCTTGCAAAGCAGGAACTCTTTGAGGCACACCTCCAGTCCATTTTGGGCTGGTTATTTTGGAGATGGGGTTTGAAGAACTATTTGCCCAGGCTGGCCTTTAACCGTGATCCAATCTCAGACTCACAAGTAACTAGGATTACAGGTGTGACCCACTGGCACCTGGCCAGGGTTCTCTTCTACTACATCCCACCATTCCATAATCCATCTGTTTCTTGGTCTAATCTCTTGAAACTGAGCTTTCACCACAGCCTGGTAAGGGTTGAGAACCCTGATCCCAACCCCAGGAAATATTCAATGAATGAATGAATAAATGTGGATCAACTGGCAGGAATGTTTGGGAGATAGCCCTAGATCTACTGGACCTCCAGAACTGTGTTGACTTTTTTTTTTTTTTGACAGCATTGGGGTTTAAATTCAGGGCCTTGTGTCTGCTAGGCGGGTGCTCTACTGCTTGTACCACACCCCAGCCCTTGCATTTACTTTTCCTCCTAAAGCTATGGAAGAGCACTTTAAAATAGTATGGGTGGACTGGCAGAGTGGCTCAAGAGGTAGAGTGCCTGCCTATCAAGCATGAGGCTCTAAGTTATATATATATTTGGGCTGGGTGAGGGCAGGACAAAGGCTTCATTAGGAGGGGTCAGAGTGCCTAGCTTCATCAGAAGAGGCCACAGAGATAGTAAGATGGGATAGGAGTAGCACCCCAGCCATCACCTGTACCATCCACTCTCAGGAAACCCTACCTGGAATGTATCAGGGCTCAGACTTCATTGTGTCCCCAGCCTGGGAAAACCAATGAAACAGGTTCCCAGGGCTCCTCCACAGCTTCAGGGCTGTCCCACTACAGGCAGCCCACAATGGAAAAAAAAATACCCAGCAGTGTCATATTCTGGAAACTAGCCTTCATTTAAACATCTGGACCACTCAGATTTGAGCAGAAGAGATCTGGAGAAGGCCTGGGGGCAAGAGAACTGCTTCCCAACTGCTAGCCTCCAAGCTCAAGGGCAGCTGCAGCCAAGGAGCATCACACTATCCTGTCCACTGCCTTCCTTCAACCTCATTCTGCCTCCAACCTCAGAAAACAGAGGTCAACACTGCTTGATGAAAACAGTAAGTCAAGGAGAAGTCTTCCCAGCACTGATGTTCAGGGTCAGAAGTAGAAAGGACCCTTCATTGCACCCATGGAAAAGCGAGGCCCCAAAAAGGCCCAGGATGTCACAGTGAGGCAAAACTGAGCTGTCCTGCATCCAAGTCCCCCAACACAGGGACAGCTGGTTCCCATTCAACTGTTTCCACTGTTGTTTGGCCGAAAAGCCTGGTCAGAGCTGAGAACCCTGCTCCCCACCCCCACAAAGCCTCACCTGCAGATAGTGGTAAGTCCTGGCTTTAGCCTTGGCCTCTGGACCCAGGAGCCCCTTGCTTGGCCCGGCCCCTGGGTATCCATCCCGACCCTGGCTGACCATCATGGTATGCCAGGCACTTCGCTTGACCGATTGTCCATCCAGTGACATGGACATGCCAGTGCAGGCAAGGCAGCGGCCTTCTGACCCGCCCGAGCGCCCCTTGAAGCTCAAATCCCGGTAGGACCCATCTGGAGCCTCTAGGCAGAAGGGACCACCAGGTTCCCCAGGAGGCCTTCCACCCACCAGAAAGCCACTATCACTGTCCAAGTTGTCATCAGAGCTCCACCAGCCCGCAGCCTTGGTCTGGTGCCGCCCATCCCCCTTGCGGTCCTTGCTCTTGCTTCTTTTGCCATGCCGGGACTGGTGGTGGTGGTGATGGTGGTGGTGATGGTGGTGGTGGGAGGTGTGGGAGCCTCCAGAGCCTGGGCCAGGGTAGCTATCACCCCCAGAGCCCCCTCTTCCCTCAGCCTTGGGCCCATTATAGTCCCGTTTCCCAGGCGCCTCCAGAGAATGGGACTTGGCAAAGAGCTTCTGCACAGAGTGAACCAGATGCCGAATTCGGCTAGGGCTCTCACTGCGGGGCTCAGGGACAGTGCTAGACCCCGGCCCTGGCCCAGGACCAGCCCCTGCTGGACCCCGCTGGTATGGTAGTGTGTGGAAGCCATCTTGTTGAACAGGCAACTGCTTCTCAAACTGATCCAAGAGTGTAGGAGGCAGGCGGGGGGCACCCTTGCCTTGTGGGTGGCCCACACAGTCTTCACAGGTGTCGAAGGGGCCCTGGCCAGGGTACATCCTGGGGAAGGTACTGCTGCCTCCCCCAGTCCCGGCCCCACCTGGCCCTCCCTCAGGGCCTATGGATGGCCCCTCACTTAGGCTCAGGGGCCCTTCTGGAGAAAGGTGTCCCAGGCCAGCTCTCGGGGCACAAAAGCGGGGCTCGGTGGAGAAGGCCTCCCTGGAGCCCAGCAGGTATGGGGCCCTGGCAGCTGGGCCCACGTCCATATGCTGCTGGTCAGCAAAGCGGGCTGGGCGTGGATGGCTGCCTCGGTCGCCATGGTAACCCCTCATGGCCTCAGCAAAGGCTCTTCATAGTGTTGGGGGCCAGGCCCCGGGAACCTCCTGGGAAAATAGGGAGAAAAGGGATTCGAACTAAACAACAGGCCACTTCACCTAAAACCATCTTTCATTAGGCATTCTTATATCCCTTTTGGTAATGCCTATCAATTTACTGTGATTAATTGTACTATCTTTCCACAATGGGCTGGAAAGTCCTTAAAACAGTCATAATAGACAAAGACACAAGGGCACAAAATAATCCCATCATTCATCAAATGCTGAAATTTTGATAAATACTTATCCACAAGAGAAAATGCTCTCAGCCAAATGGGTTTTTAAATATCTTTAGATTATCAAAAACAAAAGGAGACATACAAAATAGTCAAAGAAACTAGTCATTAGGTGAAATAGCTTTTAACAACAAGCTGGGTTTAAGCAAACTGATCCAGAGCCATCTATCTGCCCCAACCCTACTCCACCACCCTACTGCTGCACATGTCAGGCCTCAGGGTTACACTAACCAGCACCATGACCCAAGAGAACACTGAACCCATATCTACATATACAGCACCATTAGCAGATAATTCCTCCCCTTTCTTCCACATCCTACTCCTTCCAACTGACTTCAGGCTCATTCTCTCAGGGCTGAGATAGGAAGGAAAACCTGAGGTAACTCCCCCTCCTTCTTTTCCTGGCTTTAAAAATATTCCCCAGTGAAATTTCCCCTTTTGCCTTTTACCCCATCCCACAGTTCCCTTCCATGAGAGGGGTGTCATGGAGAGAGGAAACACTGTAGAGGAGGAACACTGGCTATACAAGTAGCATTTGAATTCCTGAACTAGGAACGGAATCCTCCTCCCGTGAACAGTGAACTAGTGAGGCAGGGAGCTGATGGAGAAGAAGCTCTGAAGCTAGTGACCCTGGCCCCCATCCCAGGCTTGCAGGACAGAGAGGTCATCTCTCAGCAAGAACTGCCTCCAATCATGGCTCCAGGAGCTGCCAGAACAGGAGCTATGGCAGGAGGGGGTGACAGCAGGAGGGACAGGGACAGAGGATCTGGCAGACGGAGCCCTCCCTCACCCCAGACCAGCTCCTGGGCCATCTGCTGACTAGGAGGGGATGACAGCCTCAAAGATTTCAGACAGCAGCACCTCTAAGACTCAATCTCCTGTCCTCCCCACACTCATCCTGCTTCAGGCTTCTTCCAGATCCTGCTCGCAGCTCATTTCCTACGATGTTTCAAGAACTTGCTATGTACCAGGTACAGTACACACCTCACATTTTCTAATTCCACTGGAATCCTGTAATGCAGATAAAATCCACACTTACCATGAGAAAATGAACCTCATAATGGTGAAGTCACAAGTCCAGTAAGTGGTGAGTCACTTTGAATCAAGATTCAAATCCAAATTATTTGGATTTGAGAACCTGAATCTAATCCCCATCTCCCAGACTTTCCTAACACTCACCATCCGGGGTGTCCCATCCTTGACGTCAGGATCTCCACCACCAGGTAGAATCCTAACTTGAGAAGGCGCAGGACCACTGGCTCCTGACGTAAAAGAAAGAGGTGGTCAGCAAAGGAGGAGTGGAGACTCTCCTGGAGTCCTTCAGACAGGTCTCTGTCCCTGACAGTTTCCCTTCCCAACCCCCTAAACCAGGACTGATTGAATCCCCCATGATGCAGAGCTTTCAGACCCCTGGGGAAATGAAGTTGGCTTCATTATGCAAATACATGCAAATAAGCTCACAGGTTGGACTACCTCCAACTGCAGGTGTCTGTGTGATCTGTCCATGGTGCTGAGCCACAATGTTTTCTTTGCCCTTAAATATGGCTGCATTCCACAGACATTTGTTGAGCAGCTACCATGAGTAAGACTCTGAATGAGAAGTGTACAGAGGTAATTTAAATGTGGTCCCTGTCATCAAGAAGGTCTATAGTCTAACGGGAACAACCTCTCACAAAACAGAGTTCTTTTAGGTTCCTATATTTTTGCACAAGCTCTTTTCTTCTCCTAGAATCTCCTTTCATCTACCTCCAAATTCTCCTCCTGGATAACACGTACTCATATTAAACCCTACCTTCCCTTGAAGACTTTCTGTACTCTTATTCTGGGTTATGCCTCTCTATTGAGCTTTTATAACACCCTGGGTACCCCCATGGAAACAGCTATCACACTGCATTGAAATTGGTTGTTTCAGTTTCTGTCTCCCACATTACAGTGTGGACTTTGACAGGGTAGGAACCAAGTCCTATTCACCTCTGGATCTCTAGCATCTAACTCAGAGCTTTTCCCAGAGTTGGTCTTTAATAAATGTTCACTAAGTCAATGAGTAAATGACTGTGCTGGAGAGAGGTGACAAAAGGTTAGATTAGCTCAGGTGAGGGCAAGATCAGATTCAATAGGTAGAAATCAAGGAAGACATCCCAGAGAAGAAAGTATCTCAATTCAAGTAGAAGATGGCTATGTATTCCACAGACAAAGGTGGGAGAATAATTACAAATGAAGGAATCAGCAGGCAGAAGAGGTGTGCAAATAAGGAGTAATGAGGGGTGGGCTGGGGAAGTTCCAGCAGACAGTTAGGGTTTGGCAAGTACTTGGAAGGAGAGAAAGAAAATCAGAAAGGAAGATGACTCTGAAGTTTGCAGCAGCCGTGACTGGAAGACTAATGATGCCATTATTAGACACAGGGATGTCAGGAAGAAGAGCAAACTTTGCAAGCATGATTAATAGTAGTGGAAGAGACACAGTCAGACATCAGGAAGAACTTCCTGACCCTGAGGGATGGGAGACAATGAAGAAGATTGTGGAGTCTTCTGGGAATCTTCCATGGAGCAGAACGTGAGATATGCCCACTGCCAGGTCCATCCTGTGGCCTGGACCACAGAGATGTTGGTTATCTTGCCTGGAGGGAGACTGCACTGACCTCATTGATCAATGGACTGGCTCTGTAACAATTCTCCTCCACTGCCCTTTTCTGGGATAATGGAGGGGTCTTCAACCAAGATGGCTGCCTCTCAGCTCTTGGAATAATACTTGGAAGGATCTCCCTGCCTTAGATAGATGCTTTGGTTCTCTGGGTCCTGCAACCATGGCGTGCCTCTCTTCATGCTCCAGGCAGGACACCTGTCAGACTCACAACACAAAGGCCATTCTGGCAAACCCCACACCATCCCATTTGCTTCATTTGTGGTCATGTTAATCTGGAACCTCATGGAACTTCCCAATGGTGGATACTCTCAGGTGCTCTTCACCCCCAGTTTCATACAGGTGCTGCTGACAAGCTGCTGAGCTGTCATCAAGATCTTGTCAAACTTGTCTCACTACCATCAGTCCATGATCTCCTGGTTCTGGACTCAGGGATGAGCTCGTCTCCAGACAGACCCCCTCCAACTTGCTTACCTGTGTCCTACAGACCAGCATTGTCTAGGGGAAAAAGGACAGCCCCAAGACCAGAAGGTATATGACACTATACAAGTGACCTAACTTCTCTAAACCTAATGACATCTGCTCACCTATCATCCAGGACTTTAAGGAATATCAAATGACACAGGCATATGAAGACACTTTATAAACTCTAATAAGATTACACAATGTAATCTTTTATGGGAAGCCTTTATTTTAGATTTCCAAAATTCCCAATGTTCAGATTGCAAACAATACAGTAAATCCAAATTACTGGGGGTAGGAGATGTCCAAGGTATGCATTTCCTAAAGAAAAAATTGGGAGTATTTTGGCTGGGTTTGTTTGTGGTGCTGGGGATCAAACCCAGGGCCTTGTGCATGTGTAGGCAAGTGCTCTATCACTTCCCCTGCCCTTAGAAATAGGCTGGGCCTAGTGTCTCAGGCCTATAATTCCAGCACTTGGGAGCAGAGAGAAGATCACAAGTTCAAGGAGAGCCTGGGCTACATAGCAAGAACCTGTTTCAAAAAAGAAAATATTTTATTATTGACTGGCTTCTTCCTATATATAATGCTTTACAATCACATTCCTCAAAAAAAAAAAAACCCTCACATTCCTCCATCCTCTGCCCCCACCCCATTATGAAACATAATCAATGGGAAGGAAAAACAATGAAGAGGAGCCTCATAATTCAACCCATCACCAGGTCCTATGGATTTTGCTTCCTAAAAATAGCTGTGCACACTTATTTTTAAATCCACCAATCATTGTTGGCTGAGTAGCTGAAACTCCTTCCCAAACCCAGTTTCCCTTTTCCAGTCTCCCTTGTAACTAGAGGTCACATGATTCTGTTTTGGCTAATGCTTTATACATAAATATGATGAGGGTTTCTGGGAAAGATTTTGCCTTTGTGATCATCCTTCCTCCCCTTATTTTTGGCTGGAATAAAATCATGATGGCCAGAGCTAAGGTAGCTATCTTGCCACCATGAGAGAAAGGCCCAGAGAATCGCAGAGATGTTAATCCTGGCACCACTGAGCCACAGAACCAACACAAACAGTTGCCTTTCTCCAGGCCTATATGTGATAAGGAATAAACCCTATTTTAAAGCACTGTTGGCCAGATTTTCTGCATTTGCAGCAGAAAGCACTGCTAACGAATCCAACTACACCTCTGAACATCACCTTCTGCCTGATCATCTGCAAAAGTCTCCTATCTGCTTCCATTCTTATCCTGTTCCAAACAAATGATCATTTGAAAATGCAAATCTGATCATGTCACTTTTCTGCTTAAACGTCTTCATTGGCTCATTGACATCCTTAGGACACAGCACCTTAACCTACCAAGCAGACCTACAGCATCTGGCCCTTCCCTCTGCCAACGTTCTCTCACCACATGCTTCCCCTTGCTCTCTTTGCTTCAGCCAAGCCAGTCTTTTTCAGTTCCATGAACCTTCACATCATGGGGCCTATTCCCCATGTCCAGAAAGCTTTTCCCACCCACCTCTGCCTTGCTAACTCCTGCATGCCCTTCAGATCTCAGCCCAGTTGATGCTTCCTCAGGGAAGCTTTCTCTGGCCTCCCGACTAGGTCAGATCCCCCTGCTGT